CTGAGAATTTAATATTTCCAGCTTTGAATAATACTAAAAATCACTTAAAATTTTGTTAAGAATATATATACGTATGAACTGACAGGAAAAAATTGACTATAATTTTGCAGGGGAAAGTTCCGTTTATATCAACGGACGGTATTCATCAGCTACATATTTTCATCTTTGTTTTGGCTGTGTCTCATGTCCTCTATTGTATACTCACTATGGCTTTGGGGAGACTCAAGGTATTAACATTTTAATCCCCTCTCTCTCACACACTGTGTGTGTATTTATATATTTATTTTACACTAATTTTTGACGACTTATTTTAGATGAGAAAATGGAAAGCATGGGAAAAGGAGTCGAGAACCATCGAGTACCAATTTACACACGGTAACGAAAATAAAACTCGAGTACTTTTCAACATTTTTATTATGTCAATGTATATATCATAAAAGCATTGCAGTTATTAATTATTTGCGCATTGAAATGATAATGTTTCTAATTAAAATGTGACAGATCCCGAGAGATTCAGGTTCGCTAGAGAAACATCATTTGGAAGAAGGCATATGAGCTTCTGGGGCAAAACCCCAGTTCTACTTTGGATTGTAAGTACTTTCTTGATTACAAATATTGTTTGTCCAAATTTTGATCATGAGCTAGTCTTTAACGATGGTTTCTCCAAATATTATGATAAAGTATTTTGAAATTAGGACAAATATTTTGTTTTATTTTTAAATTTGTTCTTTTACTAATTTTAAAATATGAGGGGCAACTAAATTCTTTTTACGCCCTCATTTTATAGTTATTAGGGACAATATGTGCTTAATTAGTGTAAGGTAGAGAACAAAAATGAGATGGAATGTGACAATGAATAAACATTATAGCTATTTAGGAACAAGAAGAGAAAAAATATCTACAAGAATCTTGTGTTCTCACTCAAATTTTTTTTAAATTTCAGGTCAATTTTAATGTAGAATGTAGATTTCATAACTTAAGTGCTGCTGTGACGTTCCATTTGTCATTTTATTTTTGCAGGTTTGCTTCTTCAGGCAATTTGTTAGGTCTGTTCCAAAAGTTGATTATTTGACCCTACGACATGGATTTATCATGGTAAGATTTTTTATTTTATTTTTTTTATTCTTTGTGTCTAACAAAAGTAAATTTAATAGTATGCATAAAGAAATTTAGAAAAAAAGAATCGAACGTGCAGAGTGATTATGTAGTATATCCATCTTTTTTGATTGTAATATTAATCACTTTTTTAACTTGCGTACCGTCTCAGGCTCACTTGGCACCTCAAAGTCACAACAAATTTGATTTTCAGAAGTATATAAATAGATCGTTGGAAGAGGATTTCAAAGTAGTAGTCGGAATTAGGTCAGTAATCATTTTCATCATTTCCGTGTTTGCTTTTTCTATATTTTTCTTGTCTAGTTTTCTGAGATAAATTAATACTTGTGTTCTTGTTGTTTTTTCCAGTCCTCCAATCTGGTTTTTGGCTGTGGTCTTCTTGCTCTTCAATACACATGGTGAGTGTGTAAATTATTTACTAATATCGACCATTCGTCTAGCTAAAAAATAATTAAGATTTTAAGACAAGTTATCTTATATACGACTAGCTAGATGCATTGCATAGACAATACACAAATTTTAAATATTGTTTCTTGGTTTAATTATTTATCTGGACTTTTCTCTATGGACAGGCTGGTATTCCTATCTGTGGCTACCCTTTATCCCATTGATTGTGAGTAATCAATTTCCATGTACTAATCGTTAAGTTGACTTTTTGCATTTTCTTTAGTCATCTGATCTGAAAATAACTTGAATAAACGGCAGACAATCTTGCTGGTAGGAACCAAACTACAAGTGATCATAACAAAAATGGGCCTGAGAATTCAAGAGAGAGGTGAAGTTGTTAAAGGCGTGCCTGTGGTTCAACCTGCGGATGATCTCTTCTGGTTCAATCGTCCACGACTCATTCTCTTTCTCATTAATTTCGTCTTATTTCAAGTACGTCTTTTTCCTTTAATTTCACACCGACTTTTTCTTTCCTTTTTTCCCATAAAGTTGACCTACTATTTAATAAACTCTTAGTTCTTAAATTTATAAATCATGTCTAATACCTTGTTTGACTAAGCTTATAAGTGAAATATACTTTAAGTAACTCAGTAATCTTAATCGTTTCTTTCACCATTGTAGAATGCATTTCAATTGGCATTCTTCGCCTGGGCTTGGTATGAATTCGGATTCAAGTCTTGTTTCCATGAAAATTTGGAGGATATCATCATCAGAATTACAATGGGGTGAGCCTCATACATATTACTCGATTCATTGAGATTTAACTTTATTTTTCTATAAATATTATTCACTTGCTGTTTAATAATTATGTCAAATTAATTTCTTAAACAGGGTTCTCATACAGTTTCTGTGCAGCTACGTAACTCTCCCACTGTATGCCCTTGTTACTCAGGTAATTATATAACAGAATTAAATTTGATATGTTAGTCAATAACAGATATCTAAATCAATATTTCTTCGAAAAAGAACTTATTATTTGACGAAGAAAAACCAGAAAGCCGATTAACATTTTCTATATACCATCTCTGAATTATTAAAAATGAATTGCCGTCTAATAACGTAGTCAATGTCTCTGATTGATTAATTAGTCTTTCACACTTGAATTTCCATTTAATGAACAAAAAAATTTAGAGTACTTGAATCTTCTCATGTGGGTTTTGACAAAAACCATAGTAGAATACTTGATAGAAATTTAGCCTATATCTACATGTACGTACGTATGTATGTGTAAGCATGCATATGTGTATAAGTTGCTTATAATTTTTTATAGTACAAAAAATAATGAGTCTCATGAAATATATAAACGATAAATATGTGGTAAAAATTTAAGTTGAATTTGATTTTTCATAGTGGATCAAATTTGACTAATAACTTAACCTTCTGTTTGACCGACTGGACTCCTAATAAATCAGGCCAAATTAACATGAATTTTGTATGCATGCATGTTTTACTTTTCTTCTCTCCCTATTATATTTCTTCTCTTATCTCCATTTTTTTCCCAATATTTTCATTGTTCTTCAAATAATAACTCCAGTAAGCATGGTTAAACAGATGGGATCAACAATGAAACCAACCATATTCAACGAAAGAGTGGCCACAGCCCTAAAAAACTGGCACCACACAGCAAAAAAACACATCAAGGAAAGCAGACACTCGGGCATGGCTACACCAATGTCAAGCAGGCCCGCCACACCCTCCCGTGGCACGTCCCCTATCCATCTCTTGCGGTACTATAGAGGCGAAACCGACAGTCTCCCAACATCTCCAAGAAAATTAAACTTTGACATGGATAATTGGGACAACGACGGTTCGCCATCGCCCTCTCCTACGCGCTTCCAACAAGGCGAAGGATCGTCGACTTCCCACCACCAGATTGAGGTAGGTTATATTCAACATGAGGCTGACCTCCGCCATGAGCCGAGCTCGTCTAGGGTGGTTCCACTGCCACAGCCACCTGAGGAGCAGCAGGAGATCAGTATTGGAATGCCTAATAAGGATTTTTCATTTGATAAAAGGACAAGCACTTAAATTTTGCAAAGAAGACGAGGCAAATCCTTCTTGTACGTTATATCCAACTTGCCAATTGTAATTAAAAGATGATAGCAAAAGTAGACGAAATGGAAGTAAAAGAAATTTTCTTAGGCTTACGCCTAGAGAAAATCTGAAGGCAAATTGAGATATACACAAGAAATCGTTTGTTGATTTGTTTTTTCTTTTTGTTTTTGTTTTTGTTTTTTTTTTTTTGTTACTTTCTTATATTGCTGTAAATGAAGGATTAACGCTTGTACATCTTGATGATGAGAATTTTGAGCATTCATGAATAAACACATCTTAATCAATAACAAAAGAGTGAGATTTTTACGAAGATCAGAAAGAATGTCTCAGGCACGCAACTCGAGGGAGAAAGTACAGAAGAAGAAAGGAGTTATTAGGAACGGAATGAAAAATTAGGGAAACAGATTGATAATTATATAGCAATTGCTTCTAGCCATTGACTATCTTTCCAATCCAATGGTTCGGGATGCAACACACTGAAGTTTCTACCGAGTGGAAACCACATAAGTCGTGTTCTCAAAGAAGCGTTTCCAACTGGGCTCGGGCTGTGAAAGTTGAGCCACTTGGTTTGCTTCAAATGGGCCAAAGCTTGAAGTTCATAAAGTGGAAAATATATCAAACCATATTTCAAGTATTCAACATTCTAAAATCATGCTGGAAGTTTGATATTTCAAAAATAAGAACTTTAATTAATTAATTAATATATATATATATAATAATTAATGTAACAAATCCTAAATTATCTCACTTCTCTCTCTATTCTCACCTCTCAACAACCTACTCTAACAGTGGGGAAATAAATTAAGAGCGCCAGCGTCAAAGTGAAGTCAATCGAAGCAGTATCGTCATCACCCCTCTCTAATCCAACGACGTCGGCTCCTTCCTCTCCTCTCCTGTATCTATATCAGATCCACCGCGAGTTGAGATGTGAAATGACCGCGAATCACCCTTCGATGGTTTCTCCCTTCGCAAATCATCGGTTTGGGTGGGGGTTTGGATGATGATCCAAGAAATAATGTGTAATCTAAAAAATTTTGAACTTGTTATCGACAATTTGATAATCTGTGACTGTTTAGTAAGTCGTGACTTATAATATTTGTGACCTGTGATTGATTAATAAGTTGTGACCTATATATTTTTTATTTGTGGTGGACGAACAAATTATAACCTATAAAATTTTTGAATTATGACCTTAAAATAATTTGTGTCATATAAAAATTTTCATTTGAAACTAAAAAATAATATGTAACTAATAAAATCCTTGATTTGTGACCAAATTGTATAGATATGTGACATTGATATATTTATTTAATAAAATATATAATTAATTAATTAAATTATAATTTTTTTTAATGAATATCTGATTTTTGAAATTTGAAACATTTATTCTTAATTTTGAAATGGATAATAATTATCCTCTTATTAAATTTTCCCGTTAATAAATGATCATTATTTCCCAAAGACACGCCCGGCATCACTGAAATCTCCACTTTGATATAAAATGACTTAACTGAAGAAGGTTCCCAAATCAACTCATGATTTAGTCTCGACACTACTTTGCTTCAACATCAGTATAATATTTCACCTCTAAAAATAAACTGCTATATCAATGTTCAATATAAACAAGATTTAAGCTTGTTTAGAGGCGGCGCCTTAATACTCATATCTGATGGATTAAACTAAAATGATAATTTTTCAAGACATTGAATCTTTTGACACAATATCTCTGACAAAATGTAACATAAGCATTGATATGCTTAGTTCTTTCATGAAAATTGGGATTTTTAAATACATATGCAATGATTGATTTCTTTTAATCTTAATCATCAGTAAAGTCAGCAGCTACAAATTCCTTAAGTCTTATCCTTTCTTTACAGGTTTCAAATACTAAAGCGTTACCAAGAAGTACCCTTAAGAAATTCGTGTGTGGAATTTTGAAATTTTGATCTTTAGCAGTTACACATTTTACACCACCATTATAATATACTATTACAATGAGGAGTTTCAGAAGTTGTAAAGCCATTTGGACCCTTTTGGTCTGATATTTGTATACGTAGGTCGCACACACCCACTTCTTTCTCGGATACGTGGAGAGAGACTCTATGCTACACATGATTACATCCTTTCAAAATGTGTCCGTATTTAAACTAGTGATTGCCTTGTTCATTTTCCTACGTGGGACAAACTAAAATAGTTTTCCCTTAAATACATATAAACATCTTCAGATGATTCACTTTGAACTCCAATTTTTCATCCACTAGATTACCAATTTTGATAAGCAAATATATGATTTTCCTATGTGATGGCTGATTTGCTGATCCTAAATCTGTTCCATGTTTTTGAGAATGTCTTTTATAACCTGGCAGCTATTGTTAGTATCCCAACAAAAAATAAGATCATCATATGCGAAGAAATGGTGATTAACACGCAATCTTTAAAGTTGCAGCTAAAACCTAAATTTTTTCCATCAATTTTTGCCTCCTGAAGAAGCCTAAAAGAATCCTCTATGCATAATAGGAAGAGATAGGAGATAAGAGGCCCCCAGGGCACATCTCCAAGTGGTAAAAGGGGAGGGTGGAGAAATCCAGATTTGCTTGAGGCTGCCGCGTCAAGGATTCAAATCCTGAAATATGGATTTGGCTCTTGGGTAAGTGTAAGTGTACAAGCAGCCTTCCACCCTGTACCCTTGGAGGCATAATCTGCAATTTACCTCCCACACGATACTCCAGGTCAGGGACGGTGAGGGACCCTTAAGGTTGGGGTTCAACCTTTTAAGAGATAGGAGATAGAGGCATTCATGTCTAAACCCCCTCGAAGGAGATATTTGATTATGAAGAGACCCATTTATCAAGAGTGACATGACATTGGTAACATTCATTAATTAATTGATGCCAATG